TATCGCAACATAATTCTTTATTGATGATTAAGCCTGCCTTTTAAATCTGCGATGATTTTTGTCGTGTTTTCACAATAACTAACAACAACTGGTCGCCACCTACACCTACAGGGCGTTGTTGACTCTACATCACCGCATACCAACAACACAGACAGTACAAAGACAACAATCAATCTAAGGAAGATTAAGTATGGCTAAACTTCCTTAAGTTAATTATTTGCTCTGCTCCATTCATGACTTTAGGTTAGATCTTCATGGATACTAAGTCTTCTTGACACAAGTATCTTCCCTTCAGCATCTATACACTAAGAAAATAATAGTCACTCCACTGTTTAAATGACTATTTTCATACTAGAATATATAATGCTTGGACAACAAGTGATCCATATAAGAAGACTGAAGTTACCATGTTATCTCCTACTTGATTATTTCAATGAGTTTACATTTGTGTAGTGACTTCTGATAATGAACTTACAATCACATCAAGTAGTGTTCATCACCACTTGTCACACCACAGGTACAAAGACATAGGTAGTGGCTGCATCCTGAGGCAAGTTTTAAAAAAGGCCCAGTGAGAGAAAAGGCAACTGAGTTGTGCATTTCTTTCATCATATGGGATAGGAGAAGACAAGCCAAAGAGGTGACAAAAAAGGAACATTATTTTAAATTACTGAAAGAAGAGAAAAAGTAGCAAAAATGAGTGTAATCATAGATAAACCACAAAGAAATCTCAGATATTAAAATAACTTGTTCTCTGAATGTAGCCATTCATACACTGGAGATAGAAGGATACATAACACATTAACACTTCTCTTGTACACAGTTGTTGTGACATTGGCCAGTACATAGTGCTGAATGCCTGACTCACATACTTATATCTCTATTGATGGGCTGATATTTACCATCCGATCATTTTGGAGATATACAATACTCACGAGATGACATCTTGCATTTGCTTTCAGACATATGGCCTTAATCAGAGATTCTGAGCCTTAGAAATTTTCAATAAGGCCAGTTTCCTTTGTTTCGGTGGAAAGGAAAATTGAAACTTACTGCAACCCAGGATAAAGCCCAAAATCCCTGACAATGACACAATGTTAAGGAGTCATGATGGGGAAAATCCATTATCACAAAATTACAACAAACTCCAATGACACAGTACAGAACTAAGGCCAGACACATGTGTAGTGGTTTTTCTTTACAATTGTGGAACTAACAGTTTCACAGCCGTATTCTAGGAATCAACTCGAGTAGACCAATTACAGGTCAGCGTTCCCTGGAGGATACAATAGACATTCCTAGTTTTCAGTGTTTACATCAAAGGGCAGGATAAAACAAAACAATAGCCACAGGATTCAGGAAATGGTTATATATTCCCAACACTTTTTACTCAAAGTTTCTAAGTACCTCTTTTGGGAAGGGGTCTGGGTTCCATGTTCTCTTCCAGATAGGTACAAAAATGAAAGCCAGAAAACACTGAACTTCTGTGGTGATAGTCTGAGATCATTCCAAAAATATGGCATATTGAGTTCTTGGTACATTAACCACTCCTTACATCCTAATTACAAACAGCACATGCCTAAATCTTTAGTCACATTGATGCACAGTGTGTTAAACCAGTTTTGAGTAATTAAGGCAAATTGACTCGTAAGTAATTTTATGTACAGTAGTCACTTCAAATATGAGCTTTGATACAAGATAAAATTAACCAGTAGGTTTCTTACATCACATTGCAGACAGTATGTAGGCCTAGCTGGTGACGTCCTATAAAATGCAAATTTTCTTTCTTATACTAAGACACAATTAAGCTCTCTATATCAATATCTTTCCAAAGTACAGCAAGGTTTCTGTACTGCTTTAGTTGTGTAATCCATAACATTCTTCATAACACCAATATTAAAAACAATATAATCAAGTATGTCTGCAGACCATCAAGGCAGAGGCATCTGTAGCAAGGAAGATTAAACACACTATTTTTCAATGTGACTTCATGGAAAGCGCTTACAGAGTGATGAGTCTGGAATAGGTAGTTTTTGGCTATTCCATTCTAGGCAAAAATAATCAGTAATACTATAGAAACTCTGCCTCATCCATGACTTTCATAGGAATTACTTACAGTTCTTGAATGGACAAGTATTAAATTCCTATCATAAAACAATTTTACTTTTATGCTGGAAGCCCTATTATCTGAAAGGGCTTGGGTGAAATTTTTGCAAATCACATTATGCCACATATTCTTCATAATATGCAATATTTCAGGCATCATTTTTTGTTGGGAATATTGATTTCTTAACTAAATATATTTCATTCATTTAAATGATATGTCCCCAAAATCCACAAAAATGTATCAAGGCCCTTTATTGGTAATTAAAAATTCTGCCGCTCATAATTGTATATTTGTGTAGAACTCATGCACTCACTGTGTTTTATTTACCATGTGTATACATCTTATGTTTCTAACTACTAGTCTAAAGTTCATTAAATGTCTATAGAGAATGTAACACAAATAGATGAAGATGCAGCTGAGAAATAATTAATGAGGGTCTCGGGAGCAAAGTCTCCTTAAATTGACAAGAAATGTGGGAAGTTAAATGTGAATACAGTATATTATTTGATTAGTACCAATGACAGAAAATAATGTGGCATTTGAAAAGGTATAGAAAGAGATATAGATAATGGTTGAGATGATCTATTTGATCTTAATATAGACTGTACATTCAATAATTGTAGATACTTTGAGTCAAATGATTAAATTATTTATTGGAACACATTTATTATCTCCAAATTCACAATTACTGTTGTGATATGGTGACATTTAGAAAAAAAAGATGTGTCCAAAGCATTACAAATGCAGCCTTAATTTGCATCTACGCTCTAATTCACAACTTGTTGTTAATCTATGCAAACAAGGACACTATCATTAGTATTCAAATGACTAATCATTCCGTATTCACAAAAATTGCCCAGTACAGGACATGTTAAATACATGAGTTACACATACATTTTGTGTCCTAATATGGATCTGATTTTGGTCAAACCTTAAAACCTCTCAGACTTTAGCTAAATGAGGAATAGGTGACATGAGACAAAAGTAATAGGTATTTACATTAATCTTACTGATTCTATTCCATTCAGTCTCAAAAAATCCTAATTGATTGCTCTTGGACACATGTCGGCCAACATGGGTTGACCTATACAATGTTAAACCCAGGGAGCATTATTGTGCTAATTCTTATTCGTGCCTCTAGAAATATATCTTCATTTACATGTGGACTTAACAGCAACTATTGGTCTCAAATAAAGATGCTCTTTTATTCCAGTTCCTGCAGCATTATTACCCATCATGACATAACAGTTCCGCAGCAGGACATTGGAAGGTGCCATAGGGCGCGCTACGTAGATAACCACTCGTTCAGTGACCTTGTAGTGGCTGCTTGTAATTGGTCGGGAGTAGGAATGGTCTGGGTCTATCCGTGGGCATGTAGTGCATTAAGTGGGTACGAGCAGGAGGGTAGGGACAAGCAGAGGGTAATTAGAGTACCCCTGGGTGTTAGCACTGACAGGAGCCGTTTTGTGGTTGGGGATTCTCCGTGAGCCTTGTCCCCTTGTTTGCATTCACCAAATTGGGGTCCGTATCCAGACTTTCAGACATCTTGTCACAAATAATATCCACCAAGCGCTCAAACACAGCCTGGAATAAGAAGAAGAAATCGTGAAACTAATGGAATGCTGAAATAACTGGTTTCCTAATTTCCTAAAGTAAGTGTAATGTGAAAATAGCATTCATACAGCTTAAAAAAACAAAATGTGTGTATATAGCATTTTAATATCATAGATATTTACAAATGAAGAAAAAAAACTCACATCACTAATAAAGAGAACCACAACAGAATAAGAATACTGCATGATGCCACTTCACTACCTTGACATTGATGTTTTCCTTTGCTGAGGTCTCGTAAAACTCGAGCCCAAGCTGGTCGGCGAGCTGCTTGCCCCTTTCGTAAGAGATGACACGCTCGTCCTCCATATCACATTTGTTACCCACGAGGATGACCTGAGCATTGTCCCAGGAATAGGTCTTTATTTGTGTGCACCTGTGGATTAAAGGATAAGTTTGTAAATCTATTTATTATCAGTATCAGTATCAGCATCATAATCATCATCATCATCATCATCATCACCATCATCATCATCATCATCATTACCATCATCATCACCATCACCAACATCATCATCTCCATCATTAATGTAGAGAAATGACTTAATCTAAGCATTAAACATAGCTGGATCTGGGGCTGTCAGCCTTGTACAATATTAACCCTTTAAAAATCTGATGAAAAAGATGTACAGACATATATTACTGAATGAATGTAAAAAAAAAAAAAATCGGATTCAGATGACTTTAAGGTACATGAAAATGCTTTCAATTTCTTGTTATTTCTCAATGTCTGTAAAAAGGAAGAAAACATATATGTATATCTTATTAATGCAATGGAAATATTCCAAATTCATCTGTGCTGACCATTTTCCAAATAAGAAAAAGAGAAAATATTTTAAAATTAGAGGTCACTTCTTGAAATGTTATTACAGAAAGGGTGAGAGTGCGTGTGCGTGTGTGCGTGTGTGTGTGTTGATGTGTGTGTGTGTATTGATGTGTGTGTGTGTGTTGATGTGCGTGCGTGTGTGTGCGTGCGTGCGTGTGTGTGCGTGCGTGTGTGTGTGTGTGTGCGTGTGTGTGTGTGTGTGTGTGTGTGTGTGTGTGTGTGTGTGTGTGTGTGTGTGTGTGTGTGTGTGTGTGTGTGTGTGTGTGTGTGTGTTTATGTGTGTGTGTGTGTTTATATGTGTGTGTGTGTTTATGTGTGTGTGTGTGTTATATGTGTGTGTGTGTTTATATGTGTGTGTGTGTTTATATGTGTGTGTTTATATATGTGTGTGTGTGTGTGTGTGTGTGTGTGTGTGTGTGTACGCGCGCGTGTGAGCGTAGGCTTGTGTGAGCGTATGCATGTGAAAGTGGAAGCTCAAATCATATATATTTTTTTTTTACTTATTTAACATATAGCCAGAGTTTGCCTGTCAATCTTTTTTTATCGCCTGTGATAAAGCGAAATGTGTGTTGCCGCGCATCAACATAAAAAGAAGTGACAGCCATTTACAGCCAGGGATTGGTGTCCAATTTTAAGTTGGGAGAGATAATTTCCATACCAGGACAATATGGTAACAAACGAACATCAAAAGCCTTTTTTTCTAAGGGCAGACGGGATACCTGTAACTCCTAAACAACCAGACAAGAACCGAGTGTTGTGGCATGAAAAATCAATTCCCTCTTACAGTAATAGCTAAGGCACTGGTCTAATTAATGTCCCCTTCGAATTATATATATTTGTGAACGACGAGTTAGAATATTTCATTTCATAACCAGAAGCCACTAAAAAAAAAAAAAAAAAAAAAATCGGTGTTGTTCCAGCATCCGCTTGTTCAATGGGTGGACGCTGATAAAAAATAATTTAAAAAAAAATGCAAAGAAATATGTGGTAAAAGAAATACCAAAAGTCCGATTTAAGTTGGAAGAATCAAGTTGTGATGAGAAGATTTGCTTCAACGCGAATGTGGGACACTTGCCAGAGGCGGAGGCGCTGCGAGCAAGTAGTCTTTTTTTACTTCTTGCAGACACATGCATGTAGATACATACATGCTGACAATAAAGCTGTCCTTTTGCATTGTGTTTATGCGCAGGGACATTGCTGTGAGGGTGTGCACCAGAGTATTTGGACGGGGCGATGCGTAGATAACTTATGTGGGAGTTCAGAGATTGATAAAACACGGAGTAAGTTTTCGAGTACGTGGGTGTAGCAATTCTTGAGAGCGATCGAGCGCCGCCGCGATAATTGAGCTGCACTAATCCTGCAAAGTCACGTTTTTAATCAAGCGATTTTTCTTTATTGTTCCAGCTTAAAAGAAGCAATAAAGCTACGGCCGATCTGCCACGTGCTTCTCGCCTGGGTCTATGCGCCTTCCAGGAAGCTGTCACATTCCTGTCACCCGTGTCATGGGCGTGTCACTTATCATATTCCCAAGATACCTTTCCTCTTTCAAGGGACGTGAGGAGACCCAATACCTCTGGGAGTTCTGAGTGACTTACAACCGACATCTATTGGGGTGACTGACAAATCGTCTGACTCACTAACATATCATAAATCTTGCATTTTAGGTTTCAAATACAAAGCCTCAAGCTAAGCCCTGTCTTTTCCATCTTTTTATCCATCATCATCTGTTTTCATCCATTTCTATCCATCTGCGAGACTTTCTCCTATCTGGCCTCGGTTCCTTCCCTTCAGTTTTAAGACTTTAATGCTTGCCCTCGTGTCTCGAGCCCCGACTTAAAGCTTTGGTTGCTGTCAATATCCTCCAGGAAAAACACTTGCCACTCGAAACTCTCCTCACGCCTCGACAATGATGCTTCAGTGGGAGAAAATCTTAAGAAGAGTCGGCGGTTCACGACCCTTCAGCTTCCACGAAGAAAAAAAGGGGTATTGATTGTGACTGTGACTGCTGGCGACGGTCTTGGAATATACTGCTCTATGGAGGGGAGGGAGAGAAAGGGAAGGAGGGAGGGAGAGAGAAAGGGAGGAATAGGGGATGATAGGGAGGGAGATACAGCGAAGGAGGGAGGGAGGGACAGGAAGGAGAAAAAGAGGGGGAGGGAGAGGAGGATGAAGAGGGAGAGAGGGAGGGAGAGGAAGATGAAGAGGGAGAGGAGGAGGGGGGAGGGAGATGAAGTGGGAGAGGGAGGAAGAGTGAAAGAGGAGACTGAGAGAACGAGAGAATGTTTGTGAATTCTAAAATACTGTGAAAAAACATAATGTCGATGATAACAATAATAACGATACATAACAATGATGATGACGTTGTTGATAATAATGGTTATTGCCATAATTATGATGATGATGATGATAATAGTAATAATAATAATAATAATAACAATAATAATAATAATAATATTAATATTAATAATAATAATAATAATAGTAATAATAATAATAATAATAATGATAACAAAAATACAGTGATTAATATATTCGTTATCATTATCATCTTATTTTTCGTAGCATCCTCACCATCACCACTTTAATCATACACTGGAGATGATAATCATGAATATCCCTCCATAATAGTCATCATAATGAACATCATTATTAATACAATTAATACATTATATACTCACTTACCTATCATTATAATCCCTCTCCCTTTCTCACTACTTACCCCTCTCTCCCTCCCTCCCTTCCTCCCTCCTTCATTCCTTCCCTCTTGCCCTCTCATTCTCTCTCTTTCTCTCCCTCTCCCTTCCTCCTCTCCTTCACTTTCCCTCTCCCTTCCTCCCTCTCTCTCTCTCTCTTTCCCTCTCCCTTCCTTCCTTCTACCTCTTCATTCCTCCCACTATCCCTCCTTCCCTCTCCCCCTCCCCTACTCCCCCTCCCTTCCTCCCACTCCCACTCCCAC